GGGTGACTTTGTGTTAGTATGACCCTCAGAATGTGGTCACTGCAGCCCCAGATATAGTTTAAACTCTCCTGATGTCCATTCAGGGACTGAAGTTGGACTCCTCCTGTTCACCCCCAGGGTTGCCTATGCAACCCCAGCTTCTCTCCTGGCTTCCTCTGAATGCCAGGAGACAAATGCACTGACACTTGCTGGTTGAGGATTAACAGAGTAGCAGTGCCCCTCCTGAGGACCCCAAATCTTCTGTCACTGGAGAGCCTGTCGTCAGGATGTCCAGCCTCACTCTGTTCCAGTTGTGCCAAAATGTACCCTGTCCTATGTCTCAGATTGGTGGCATTCACAATGCATGGGAAGTCATGGCAGGTCAAGTTCCTGTTACTAGGGGCTTTGTTTCTGTTAGAAGACAATCCATCAAATGCAAGCCTATCTCCCCACATGCAATAGTTTAGAGAAATTTTGTCAAACCTTGTGCAGATGCAGGCTTCTTAGGTACTGAGAAACCAAGACTCATGTGTTCCAATTAATGTCATCACAGATAGTAACAGACTTCTGCCAATGTGCTGTTTTCTGCATGTGTTTTACCTTTTTGTAAGTTCCTCACCGCTCCACTACCATCTTCCATTGTGATTGGTTTATTTTTTCCCAATAATTCCACTTTGGTTACCTTTCATATCCTTTTATCTATATTTGAAATTTATTTTCATAGTGGTTCTACTATGAGTCACGACCATAAGAAAGCGACAGTTGCTTTACACCAACTACTTTACATCAATACCAACATAGTTTGCAATGATGCTGCCTGAGTTCTATTACCATGTTCCCTCTCCTCCTACCCTCATCTATTCTTGCATATGATGCTGTTGTCGCAAGTATGATGTGCATATTGGCATTCTTGTGCTCATTTCCATTCTTGATTCAAACTATGAACATTTTTCTCCTGTCTTTTCATTCATATGGTAAAATGGTAATTATTTCAGGTGTTTGTTAGAATGATGAAAAGCTAACACAACAAGAATGTAGAACCACAGCCTAATCCCTGCATTCCCCCCTCCTGTAGCTGCCCCTGCAGCCTTCCACTGGATTCCAGGCCTCCTCCCTGCAGAAGAGCTTCAACTATTTCTGGTCTTCAGTTCCTGCTGGTCTCTGCTGCCCCCTATTGGACTCAGGGAGCATTCTAAGCAGTTGGATGGAGAGTTTGAAGTTAAAGAATTGAAATTGCCCTAAACACCACCATTGGGTTCCAGGCTGACTCCATCCCAAGTATAAAGTGCCTGGTTCTCTCAGGTCTCTGGCTTGTACTGGTCAAGTGCCAGGACACAGACTTTACACAAATATGCTCTGTGTCTTAACATGAGAAACCCTCCCTCTCTGTATCCCCACTAACTCATCAGTATAAGAAACTAGAAGATCCTTGCCAGGATGGTAAGTCTTGTACCTGAGAGAGAGCTATGAAAGGGTCTACTCATATCACCAAAGATCACCACAAGTGCCATGGTTCTTAGGTTCTCAGAGGCTTCTCCAAGAGGACTTGGATCTAAAGAACTAGACTCTAACTGAGGATTGTGAGACTCAGAACCATTGTTATGCCCCCAGACAAATTCTCAGTCATCCTCTGCCTCAGAATCCCCAATTCCCCATTCTGCAGTGGGACAATCACGTGACATGAGAAGAACCATTGGGGATAAAATGGAGCAGAAAGCTGAAGACACCTGGGCCTAGGAAAGATGAGTGTCCTATAGCCACAGACATAGTCTCTAAGGTCTGTGAGTAGAAATCAGGCAGCTGTAGGCTATAGCAAGTCCTTCTGACAGAGGAGCAACTAGAAAGGCATACCTACTCCTTTTCCCCAGGAGAGAAAAGCCAGGCTCCAGGGACACTGAGAAAAGGTCCAGCTAGACCAAGACTCCTTTGTCACTACCAGAATTTAGCTCTCAGTGTATGTCAGTCTGGAGAAATGGAGGGTGTGGACATCTAGAGCTGCAGCTGCAACAGCTAGGGAGATCCCCTGCCCAGTCCCCTGAGAATTTCCCAGGATCCAGCCAGACCCGGATTTCCGAATTTCTGAGTGTGGCCACCATGTGAGGATGTGGTCTGTGGTGAGACAGCTGCTGCAGGTGCAGGAGGGGGGAGGGGACTTGGGACTGGGTGATGGTATAGCTGGGGATGCTATGTTTAGGGACAGTCCCTTTTTTTCTCCCTGAAACCTGGGACAGTCCCTGGGGGAAACCACAGCTTCTAGATCCTAAGTAGTTAGAGAGTCATGCCCTTATGGGGGTGCTGTGGAAGGAACAGCTGTAGCCCAGACTCCTAGGATGCAACCTGCCACCAATCTCCAAGTTGTGAGGAGTCCAAGGCCAGAGGCAGGAGTGAGACATGTACCCTAACAGGAGAGAAGCTGAACTGGCTCGGGGAACTCCCAGGGGTTGCCCACTGAGCCCTGCAAGACATCTTTTATGCCACCTTGTTCATCTACAAGGTCAGTGACATGTGGGGTTTATTAGCACCAGTCCTGGCCCTCAGGAAAAAAAAAAAAAAAACATTGTGCAATGGAAAGATCCAACCTGGAGATCCCTGAAATCTGATCTGATGAGTTAAGAAAAATCATTCAATTATGATTACCATCCTTCACTTTATCTCTTTCTTCCTTCTCTTTATGATCATCATTGATAATTGTGAAGGTTCTGAGACTTTATCATATTTTCAAACTAAAATGCAAGCCAGCCACATTTTCACAGATGCTGCAGAACACAAAAGACTCCTAGATCAGAGACAAAGAACAGATTGTCACTCACAGCAATAGCAGGTGCCCAAACAACAGCATTTTATTACGCTGTTTTCACAAAGCCATGCAAAGAAGGTCAGGTGACATTTGTGCACCTGAGTTGAGCACCCCAAATCTTTTATTTAGTACAGCAAGCCTACCTGTTCTCTGCTCCAAAGGGAAATACTCTCTCTACCTTCCAAGGTTGCTCACTTTGCAAACATCTTGAAAATACGGTCCAGAATGAAGGTATTCAACACTTTGGCTCAAGAAACATGAAGAAATGCAGAGCCCCATTAACATTTTTTTCCTGATAACCATGATCTATACCAACAATGGGAAATCCCATTTCCATTACCACATCCCATGGATATGACTAGACTGATTTTCACCAAATGTAGCAGGAATTTTGATTAGTTTATAACTCAAAACACGGACCAAGCAACTCCTCAAAGAAGTCTTTCAGAAAATTTACCTTGGTTGGTCTTAGCAGATCCCTTTAATAATTGCTAAAACAAAACAAGACAAATTCCCACAGGGCTGCAGCTATGAATTTCAAGGGACGCATTTAAGATCTTATGGTATAACAAGATAATTATGGTTGACAAAAATTCATTGTATATTTCAAAGTAGCTAATAGAGAGGATTTTGAAAGTTCCCCACACAAGAAATGATAAATGTTTGAGGCAATGCATTTGCCAATGAGCCTGATCCAGTCATTTTAAATATATGTATAAATATAAATACACAAACTTAAATATCACATTGTAACCCATAAATGTGTACAGGTATTATTTATAAATTAACATTAAATGTTTTTCAATGAATTTCCTGGCAGAAAAATCAACAGGAAAACAAAAAAACAGATCCACACTGCAGTCCTAAGAGTGGCAGAGCAGGGAGCTTTCTGATCAGGATCTAAAGTCCAAAGTCCTACGGATCTCAGACATTGTGTACTAGTCTTCAGGGCATCAGAGTTCAGAGAGGTGAAGGAACCCAAATAGCAGCAGTGCATAAGTAAGGCAGAAGAAAGCTCTATTCAATCAGGTTCAGATTGGGCCCATGTTTAACTGAGCAGCTATCATAGGCCTGACTCTGAGATTTGAGTTTTCCATGCACTGAGCAGCCTGACACCATCTGGAAAACAGTGTCATCATCAACAAAGAATGTCCTGATGCCATTCAAAGACCAGGCTTCAAAATACAACTCTAGGCTGGTTGCCTCTTAGCCCTGTGGCATCATACAAGTAGGGAAACTTTCTGAGCTTCTACTTCTTCATATTCAAATAGGGGAGGATTAAAGTGTGTAAAGCACTCAGCCAGTGCTAAAGCATCATTATTGCCATTAAATTATGAATGATATAGCTTCCCCTCAATGCACCCCAACTCTAAGCCTGTGCCCATCCCCCTCCTCCTTTGGCTCAGCAGGGAGTCAGGCACAAGTCTTCCAGGTGGATCAAGGACTAGAAATGCAAGGAACAAGCTCATTCCTAGTTTCTAGCTCATCCTTCACCCCACTTCCTGAACAAACTTGGGCCCTACATTCATCTTCTCTGGGTCTTAGTTTTCTCAACTGTAAATCAGGGATACTTGCCCTAAGGATACCCCAGGATTTATTCTGAACCCCAAAGTGAGACAGCAAACAACGAAACCAGCATTCATCAGACACCTGCTGGTCTCAATAACCCTCATAACCTCCCTGATGCAGAAGAACATTCTCCCCATTTTACAGACAAGAAAACTGAAGCCCAGAAGTGACCTATGCCTGAAGGGACTCAACATCTTGATCTCACCACCACTGCTTGTCTGGTGGGTACAGAATCACTCCCTGAAAGGAGGATCCTTTCCTGATTTGAGAGAGAGCCAGACAGGAGCAGGCCAGGCATGGCCAACCCAGCCAAGGTAGGATTGGTCTAAACTGGCCAGAGTGCAATGTGTAGGAGTTGAGCCTGGGGCCTGATCAGAAAAGCCACAGCCTTGTCCCCTCCTCCTGACATCAAGTCTTCTGGTGCTCCTGTTCCAACGAGTGCTCAGCCAAATTCCACAGCCTCTCTAGGCCCCTGATGACAGTCCACAAACCCATGATGTCCTTGGGGAACTAAGGAAAGATGCAAAAGGTGGTTCAGGAGAGCCCCACCCAGAGCTACAGGGGTGGGGCCAGACAGGTGGCTGCCCCGAGGAGCAGTTGGGCCCTGGATCCTTATCATAGCAGGGCAGTTAGCAGATGTCTCTCTGCAGAAGACCCCCAGGGGTAACAGCCATGGGCCCTGGTTCAGGCCAACTGAGGACAGGGACAAGAACCAGTCCAGGGTGAGGAAAGGGCCAAGAGCCTCATGGACCTGTATATACTCTAGCAGCCACTGCCATCAGGAGGACCAGGACTATACCCTCTATGGATCCCATGCCACAAGGGCCTCTGACCCTGAGAGCAGAAAAGGCCAAGGGTAGGCCACTGGATACTGGACCCTCCTGCTGCTGCTGGACCTGCAGAGCCCTTGGAGCAAGTAAGGAGTCTTGGGGGAACATGGGAGTCTCAGTTGAAACTGGGAATGAGTGGTAGAGGAGGAGGGCAGGAGAAGTGGCAAAAGGGGTGACAAAGTATCAGCCTGAGACACTGGCCTAAAGTGCTGATTTTTTGTTCATTGTGGGTTTGTTTGAATTAATTTTCAACATTGTATTGAAGTATTATTTATCTTGGTTCCTCAGTCTTTTTGCACTAAGGATAGTGCCTCACTCACTCCCCCTAGTCCATTATTAGTATCTCCCATTTGCACAGGGTTCAGCCTTTCCACTCTTCCTCCTCCCCGCTTCTGCTTGGCTGTGCTCTGAACCCTTATGGTTTGGCTGAGCCACTGATGGTGGGAAGCAGGGATCCAGTCATCAGACCCTCAGCCAAGGATCCTCAACCAGGGCTGTATCCTGAGGTTGCCTCCTTCCCAGAGCTGTAGATGCATGACCATGTCTTGTATTTTGTGACAAAAAGGGAGGTGCTGGGCAGTGAACCCAGTGATTGACCCATGATAAGCCCCTCTCTTCCACTGAGCTACATCCCTAGCTCTTTCCTATGATGGTATAAGAGAAGAGGTTTTCTGCAAGCCCTCCCCCTCAGAATGAAGTGATGGTTTGGTTTGGTATCCCCAAAGGATGTGCCCTCACTGCCTTGTTCATAAACATTTCCTGGGAGCCAGGCCTGGATACAACAGAGAAAGCTGGCCTGCACCAAGGGACCTATCTAGTTATGGGGGACAAACTCGTGGTCCTTTCTCGGAGCCATAGAGTTAGAGAAGGGGTGCTCCCTCTGTGGGTTGATGCCCAAGCTGGTATCACAGATGAATGGGTGCTGGATAGTGATGGGGTAGCCTAGCAGACACACTAGAGCTTCACAGAGAGTGTAGGGCGTGGGCACCAAGGGAAGCAGGGAGCTGCTGGGCTGAAGCAGATGGAACCCCTAGGTCTGGTGCCCCAGACTAGGTTCTGCTGTCTAGGTGCAGGCTTTGGGGGATTTAAGTCAGAGTCAAACTTGTGCTTTGGAAAAACCGGTTGAGGTTTGGAGTCTGTTGTGAGGCCAGAATTGGGTCCAGGGACAGAGATAGAAGACAGAGATGGGGCAGCAGCGGGGGATCTGGGAGTTGGTGAACTGGGACCACAGACTGTTCCTAGGCATGGGGAGAATGCACTAATCCACATGCCAAAATTGCTATGAAATTGATGAATGAATTTATATCAATGATACCTGAGAGGAATGGGCACTTTCATGGACTGTTTATAAGGATTTCAATGTACAACAAATTCAGCAATAGGCAGCAAGTCATGAAAGAAACTGAGCTTATCTACAGTGTGTAATTCCATTTCTCAAAATTTATCTTAAGGGATAAAATAAAGCCATAACCAAAGATTTGCAAACAAGACCGTCTATCTAGCTTAATGTTATTAATAATGGGAAAAATTGGAGATAACACAAATATCCATGAGAAAGGGTGTGACAGAACAGTGTGGCATATCATAAAGCATCTTACACAAACCTTCAAAGTTATATTTGTAAGGTAGACTCTGGCAACAAGTTACTGCTTAATAATGTTATTTTAATAATGTCATGAAAAAGGAATCAATTTCATAAAAATTGTTTCTGAAGCATATTTATTAATAAGAAAATTCATTTTAAAAAGATAATTGTGTGCATTTTCAAAAGCCTATCTTTAAAATTTGAAGAATTTTTTTAAAAATTTTTTAAATTTTCCATAGTATGTCTCTGGCTGGTATAGTTTCACTTCATTTAAATTTTAGTTTCATAGCTTTCTGACTTCATGAAAATGTTCACACAGAGAAATATTGCATTTTTGTCATCTAAAATAATTCTAATAAAATAGTAACAGTATATATATATATATATATATATATATATATATATATATATATATATATACTTTCCTCAAAAAAAAAAAGAGGGGCTGAGGTTGTGGCTCAGAGCACTAGTCTCCAACATGTGAGGCACTAGTTGCAATCCTCAGAACCACATAAAAATAAATAAATAAATAAAATGAAGGTATGTGTACATGTACAACTTAAAAAATATATAAAAAGAAAAGAAAGAAGTATATTATATACAGAAGATAAAAAAGTAAATAGCAGACACTTTCTGTTACCCTCTCTCTCCTACCACCTTTCCCCAAAAACCTATTCCACTTTCCAAGGCCACTGTCTTGTTGGTCTGTATAGTTCAACTCTTTCACTGTATGTGCATTCTTGAAAACACACACACACACACACTCACTCACTCAGGGGGAGAGAGTTGGTGTTGAGATTTTATTTTTTGAAAATAAAGTCATACTCTGTATATTACTCTAGAATTAGCTTTTTAAGCTATCTATAATTGATTTTTCTAGATTAGTCCATATGAATCTTTGGTATTCTCATAAATAGCTATCTAGGGAAAGTTTGTATGTACCAGAATTTTGTAATCATTCCCCTTTTAAGGGTCACTTCAGTTGTTTCCACTAGAAAATACGCAAGTGATGATGCATTAAAAATCTGGGGGTGGGGAGTCAGCATAGTGTACTTCTATATCTCTAAAGATTAAATGCCTAAAAGTGGAAATTCTGGATCTCAGAGGAATTCCTTTGAGATTTTTTAGGTAGTTCCAAACTACTTCCAAAAGGCTGCTCCAATTTATACTCACTACAGTGAAAGACAGTGCCCTTTCTCCTACCTCCTTGCCAATAATGTGATGTTGTTGATCTTTCTTTACTTTACCCTTGTGTTAAGAATAAAGGGAATGTGTTTGATTTATTATTTATTTCATTATTGGTCAAATGTTTATCCTTTCTTATTTTTAACTTAGTGTATTCCTCCTGTGAATTAAGAAGTCATTATGTTGCCTGCTTTTTTACTCCATTGCTTGTATCTGATTATATTGTCTATAGAAACTTAACCCCTTGTTTAGAAAATGTGTTATAAATATTTTCCCTTGGTCTATTTTAGAACTTTTGTTTATGAGGTCTTCCACCATAAAGTGGTTGTTAAGCCTATTGTGTCGCATTGGTTTAGCCTTTTCTTGATGGTTTCTGTGATCCATGCCAAGTTTAGGAAGGTGATTTTTATTTTGATATGATAAAATTACTCTCTTCTATTTTGTTCTAGTACTTCTGTTGGTTTGGTGCATATGTGTTTAATTTTATCTGGAGTTTGTGTGCATAGGCATATAACTTTTTTTATTTGCCAAATGGAAAGACATCTGTTGAATATAAATGAGATTTTTATCAAATGCTAAATGATGACTTATCACATTCTCTCTGTGGTTCTCTTAAAGTATTGGTTTATTCCTGCATCCTTCTACTTTGTTTTGATTATTTTAGCTTTATGATGTGTTTTTGTATCTGCAAGGGGAAACAATGCATAATTATTACTGTTTTGCAAAATATCTTTCTTCCTGTTGAACTTTGGAATCAATTCCCTAATTCTCAAAAATCATTCTTTTGGTGTTATGTTTGTAATTTCTGGGAATACATGGTTGATTTGAGATGAACTGATACCTTTATAAAGCTCTGCACTTTTACCCAGGAACATGACATGCTTTCTATTCACTCACTTTTATGTTCACTAGTCAAGTAGTCTTGTATTTTATTCATTGAAAATCTAGTGTTATTTATTTATAAATCTTAGTTATGTGTTGGTGTTTCAAATATAATTTTATTGAAATTGAAAATTTCCCACAATTTCATATCCTAAAGTGTTACCTATGCAGCAGAGAATTCTATTCATTTTTACATGTCACTCTTATGTTCAGCCACTTTAATTCTTGTATGGGTTTTAACAGTTCAACTAATTCTCTTAAGTTGGTTGGTTTGTTTTTTAGTAGACTAGCACATCATTTGCAGGAAACATTTTCACTCTCTTTTCTTAATACTTACAACTTTTTCCCCCTTCATCTCCTTACATTGGGTAGAATCTGTTGAATATTGAAAACTGTGAGTGAGCAACTTTCCTGGTTTCTGCCACAAATGTTTTTTTTTCCTTTACATATGAATGTTGTTGTAAATTTTGGAAGACACCTTTTAATGAGTTGAGGAAATTTCCTTGAATACCTTCATGCAAGGATAAATGTTTCCTCTCTTATTCAGAAACAAGAGTTGGGTTCATATTAATATTACACTAAAGTCTGACTTGCCCAAGACAGGAGGGGTATAGGACAGACTGAGAAATGTCAGAAGAGCCACTTATCTAGAATAGGGAGCTGGATCCCAGCCCCAAAGACATCCCACAGTGATTGAGATATGTCTTTTACACAAATTCTACACGAATTTCAAAGAATCTAGGTGCATGTCTTTAATACAAACATTGTCAAATAGTCCTGATGCTAAGGTTAAAAAATGGTGATCCCAATGCAATGAATAATCTTCCAATGTAATATAATATCTTTATTTATAAAGATAAAATCTCACTTGGCAAAGCCACCATCAATTCTTAGAGTATAACTTCTGCAATTTTCTTTTTATTTTTCTTTTGATTATCTTAACGGTACATTGTGTTGTGGTATAAGAATACACAAGGTGATTCATTCAGGGAATGACTAAGATGACTCCAGGCCATTGACTTGGAGACAAATTGCTGAAATGAGGACACTGCAGGGGATCAGATCTTCAAGGAAATGTGTTTAGTTGGAAGCTGTTGAGTTCCAGGTGCCTGCAAGACATTCAAGCAAAGATAGGTTCAGGAATCAAAATATATGTAGATCTGTGGCTGAGAAGAAATGTCAGAGCAAGAAAGAGGAATCTGGGACCTCTGGGCAATTGTGGAGTGCATTGTAAGACTCAAATCAAAAAGAGAGGGAAGAGTACAGAGGAAAAAGCACCTGGTAATAGTCTAGAGTCATCAGCAATGCATGGGTCAGAGAGAAAAGGAAGCTATGTGAGCAAGAGAGTGGGCCATCTCCACAATCAATGAGAAGAGAATGACCAGAAAAAAGGGAACTCCTGCAGAGACCTCAGGCTACTGGGAAAGACCTACAGATTGAGACAAGGGCCTTTTAGATCTTGACATAAGAAGTTTCAGGAAAATATGAGGGTAAGAGCTAAGGGAGTCCTACCATGTTCCAGCATGCAAAACAGTGCCTGGGGTAGGTGGGTGTTTCATAGGAATTTTGGATAGATGGATGAATGGATGGATAAATGGAAGTATGTATGGATACAAAGAGTGGTCTGAAATATCAGGGAAGGTTTCATGAATGTGGTGGGACTGTGCTATGTCTCCACAGGTAGAAATGCAAGTAGAAGAGTCTCCATGTGGAGGTGCCTTAAGTCAGGCATGACCCAGTGTCAGTGGGTCCAGGGAAGAAACTGTCATGGCTGGATGATTGGGGTTTGTCTAAAGGATATTCAGAAGTTCTAAAATGAGGCCAGGAGAAGTTGAGCAGGTCCAAGTCAGCTCAGGACTCTCTCCCACCTCACATAGCCACTTAAGAATATGCTTCACTAAGGGATTCTTGGCATCAACTGTGCTTAGCCTTTCTGTCAGCACTGAGAACCTCAGAGATAGGGGACATACTTGGAGTATCTCCAAGGCCATGGGCAATGCATGCCTGGGAGAGGAGATGAGTGTCTGGAGGGCCAGTCAACAACCTGCAGTATGCCAAGGACACAACCCCACCCGTCACACTCAATAGTTTTCATTCTTGCCCAACCCCTAGGGGGCAAACCCCAGGTGCTGACCCTGTGGGTTTTAGTCCAAACCTCAATCACTGTGGTATGTCTTCGGTGGTGGGACCCGGCTCACCGTTCTAGGTAAGTGGCTCTTCTGACTTTTCTCAATCTGTCCCATACCCCTCCTGTCTTGGGAAAGTCTATTTTCTCTCCCTAAGGGCTTCTTACCCTCTTCCCTACCCTGTCTTAAGGACAGACCACTTACCTTTTTTCATGGGGTCTGGGGGAGGTTGGTGATTGCGTGGTAGCCAGCAGGAATGGTCCCAGCAGCAGAAGGAGCCACCTTCAGATTCCAAAAGCGGGATATGGCCTTGTCCTGAAGGCCTGGGCTGGAGACAGGGACAGGGACAGGGGTCCCTTTCCCTCCTCTAGGGCTGAAAACCAAGTGGGGACCAGGGGCCATGTTTAATTAGGGAGCATTAGGCCTTAGAGAGAGTTCACAGGCCCCCAGAATCCAGGCTGAGGGCTGGATGTTCATCCAGTTTGGGAAGGCTTCAAAGAATTCCCAGGGACAAGACTGGAGTTGGGACCCTAGCCCCTGGGCACTCAAGAGGTTATCCCAAATAGACATCACCAGAAGATAGAGAGAGAGAGAGAGATCTGGCTCACTCTAGGATGCACCTGTCTGGTTCTCTAATGGGCCTTGAAGGCAGAGGGATTCAGAGCCAGATTAGACTAGGCAAGGTGACCAGAGTCCAGCCTTCCCAGGGTGGTCCTCAGGAAGAAGCAAAGACTCATCTTTCCCTGGAGCCCCTTAACGCTGGGGATTGAGACCTTGATTATTCATGCATCAGACTCTGCTTTCCTCAAAGTGCATGTTAAATTCAGGAGATGATAAATGAGAAAGCAAATGGAAGCTCACAGAACTACTTGGCTGCTAGGTGAATTCAAGTGTCATTAGGAACTATGAGGGTGGGTGAGGGCTTCTGTGCCCCATAGTCTGTGGCAGTGAGCAGTCCCAGGCAGAGGCAAAGGGTCTTGTAATGAGGATATGGCAGACTTGGAGGAGCCCCCACTTGTCTGGGTAGAGCACAACTCCTTGCCAAAAGAGCTGAGAGGACAAGGATGGAGCAGAACCTGATGTCAAAGAGGACAGGAAGTTTCAGGAACCCTGTGAACTGAGTACAGGCTCAAGGCTTCCCACACCCACCAGAACCATCCTTCCATCCTGGATGGACCAGGAACACTTAACAAAGGAGGTTCTGGGTACTAGAAGGATAAAGTAAGGTAGAAAATCTGGACTGGTAAACTAAGACTACAAAGGGGAAGGATACAAGACTATCTGGGAGAGGTAACTTGGAAGGTGCTATCTATTCTCCAGGTGGCTTAAGTTCACAAGAAAGGAAAGAAAAGGGAAGGAGAGTCCTTGAAGGGTTAAGAAAACCACAATGAAAATGATTGCAGAAACTTTGGGGCATCCCCAACACCTGGGCTGTCCTATGTTGACCCACACCACTTCTCTATCCACACAGGTCAGCCCAAGGCTTCCCCCTCGCTCACTGTATTTCCACCCTCCTCTGACGAGCTACAGACCAACAAGGCTACACTGGTGTGTCTGATCAATGACTTCTACCCGGGTGCTGTGACTGTGGCCTGGAAAGCAGATAGTACCACAATCAGCCAGGGTGTGGAGACTACCCAGCCCTCTAAACAGACCAACAACAAGTACATGGCCAGCAGCTACCTGACCATCACGCCTGACAAGTGGAAATCTCACAAAAGCTTTAGCTGCCAGGTCACACATGAAGGAAACACTGTGGAGAAGAGTGTGTCCCCTTCAGGATGTTCTTAACCTTTTGTCCCTCACCCCACCCTCATGATCCTGGAAGTGAAGGACCCTGGTGAGGGACCCCCTCCTTTTCCTAGTCTTCCCACTAAGCCCTTCTCTCTGAACCCACTGACTGCTCAATAAAAATATCCCATTGTGAATCAGAAATCTTGCTCTATCTCATTTGTTCTTATCTTTATTTTAGTTGCAATGGCCTCAGAGTTCTCAGTGTAGGGTGAAGGGTATCCTGGCACCCAGTAGGAAAAGGAGAGCCATTTGGATAATCTTCTGGGGTATAACCCCAGGAGTATCCTTCCTCAACCAAATACCCATCTCCCCAACTCTCTACTGTATTCCTGAGCCCCCATCACACAGGGTCACACCAGGTTCCTCATTCCTAAATCTCATCAATGAAGACCTACTCATGTATCATTTCACATTTCTAATGTGCCAATGGTGACTGGTTATGTCTCTAGGCAGAATGGTCACTGCTCAGGGGCCTAGATCCCCTAAACCCTGGGGCTTGGGGCCTTGTTTATTCATGCTTCAGACTCCTGCCTTCCTCAAAGGGCATTCATGTGTGTTAAACTCAGGAGATGAGAAATGAGAAAGCAAATGGAAGGTTCAGAGAACTACTTGGCTGCTAGGTAAAATCAAGAGTCATCAAGGGCTGGGGCTGTAGCTCAGTGGTAGAGCACTTGCCTTGCATGTAGGAGGCACTGGGTTCAATCCTCAGCATCACATAAAAATAAACAAATAAAACAAAGGCATGCTGTCCATCTACAATTACAAAAAAATAAATAAATAAATAAATAAATAAAAGAGTCATCAGAGTCTGTGAGGATGGGTAAGGGCTGCTATGGCTCATAGTCTGGGGGTGAGGAGCAGTACCAAGAACCCAACAGAGGCAAGGCTCTATGAGATGCCATCTCCTGCTCATCCCATCCACCAAACCCACCATAGAATTGGTGAGTGAATTATCTTTGCTGGTGGGGACTGTGAGCAGATATTTTATCCCTGCAGAGCGGCCTTGCCTACCTGGAAGGGAGAGGACTAGTAAGAAGAATGGCAGTTGGCCATAATGAGGTATTAGGGAGAAATAAGGGGGACTCCAGGAGTTCAGCTGCAAGCTAGTGGCAGAAGCATTAAGGTAAAGAAGACCCTTGATCCAAGGTCATGGTCTTAGCAGGAACAAAGTTTGAACTTTCTATTTCCTATGAGAAACCCTTTTGGGAGACTGTTAACCAAGTGAGTTGTCCATAGTTTCTTATCACCAGGGAATCATGGAAAGGCTTGGAAAATGAAATCTACATGTTCATTTCTCAGACTTTCACATTGCATGTCAGCTAAGTAAAGATACAACTTCTGCAATAGGGAAAACAGCTAATATAATAAAACAATTTTCCACATTGTGTTGACCCTCTTCTCCACCCTTGGGAGTCCTATAATATTCAGAAAGAGACTCATATTTCATGGAGCTAAGTAGGGGAACATAGGGTAAGTCAGAAGCATATAAGAATGATCACTGAATGATCCAGTGGATATGAAATTAGGCTTAAGGTTGACAATATCATGCTGTTGGAATGAAACCCTGAAAGATTGGACCACAAGCTTCCAGGATGAAGAAGGTTTACAGTTAGTTGATGGCTAGAGTTGTTTGATGATCATCCTGTAAAAGGAGGAAATTGAAATCGAAATGGGTGAAAAAGATATGAAAGAAATTAAACAAGTGAGAAAAGGCACCAAATTAGGCACAGAATCCGCATTCATTGATTGTCCTAAGGAAACTGTGTCAGAGATCAACTAAAGACAAGAATTGTGTATGGGACAGAATAAATCAGGGCAGAATGAATGTAACAAAATATCTACAAGTAAGGTTTAGCTTCCAGGAGGACTAAGAGCCCCCAGATTCTCCATCCCACAAGGCCCACTCCCTTCCTCTCTCAAGTGGCTCAGACAGTCATGAGCATCTCCAGCCCAAAGTCAGAGACACACTCTCAGGGGCCATGACAATGGGTTAGGGAACCTAAATATGCATCCCTATCTGTCTCTATTAGTCCTCTGTACCCCAGATGCTCACAGGGCCCCTTCTGAGTGTCCACCTCATCAAGACCATGGCAAACGTACTCACCAGAGCTGCCAAGATGGAACTTGCAAACACAGGGAGTTCTGGAGTCAAAATGGGACAGAGAAAGGGGTCCTCCTGGAGCTTGATTATGGCCACCCCTGATCCCAAACCACAGCTTTAACATGCCTCAGCACTTAACTGACTCCAAGTCATGGATATAGAAGCTGAGACCATCCAATGACATATCAATGGCCTCAGTGGATACAGTGGCAGGATCTACCTCATCCAAAATCACTGTCCCAAGAATAACCTCCTCTTCATTTTAAAAATTGGTGTTTATGATGAGAATTTTCAACACAAAAAGAAAACAGGAATAATAATTACTCCTATGGTTCTCATCAACTACCTATCAACTTTATCAATTCATGGATGATTTTGATCCACCCGCAAAATTAACATCACCCTTACATGATATTTTGAAATAAATGCCAGACATCTTCTCTTTTCATCTGCAAATATTCCACTTCTGTTCTGGAAAGATGAGACATAACTAAAATATGATTATATACCCTAAGCGGAAATTTTCAATGATATCTTAATATCAAAAGTCAATCAGGGACTCACAAAATCTCTCCCAAATATCATACATGTATTTATTTTGTTCTGAGTATAGTACTGTTGTTATAGTGCTGGTTCTTCCTCTGTGTGTAGGAAGCTGAAATGAGAGTTGAAAGGGTGCTTTCTGCATGTGGTCTTGACATCGTCATCTGCCATAGTCTCCACATCCCTCTGGTGGCTCCAGGACAGGCAGGAGCTAAGAGGAATGAGCTGTTGGTCCTGGTACTTTCTCAGGTTCCCACACAGCTCATGGCCTCCCAGAGTCGTCACTGAGGACTTCTGTTTCTTCCTTTCCCAAAAAGTGGTTCTTCCATGGAGAACATGAAAAGGTATAGTTGACATTTTGGTGAGGCCTTTTGCCAGGATGGTGGTTCCTGGGAAGGACATCGTGTAGTGGTCATCACTCAGTAAGGGTAACTTCCCTTCATGCAGGTTGCACAGATGCAGCTGGTTGGGGGAGGGTCAGGGCAAGGCAGAAAGGGGTTTTTGCATGAGTCTGTGTCATAGTGTTGGGTGTTCGGCGGAGGGACCAAGTTGACCGTCCTAGGTGAGTGATTTTTTGTCCTCCTTTCTCTGCTCTCTCTAAGTTTGGGGACAATTTTCTGCTTCTTTATTCTTTGTCTGTGTCCTGTCTCTGTCCTGGGACAAGTATTCTCCCTGGATCTTAGTTCTGGGACACTGAACTCTACCCTATCTGTTCAGATGCTCGTGATTGTCTCAGTGGCTTGTAGGCAGATATTCAATCTCTGACTCCAGAGGCAGGGGACTGCACAGAATGACCTACTAAGATTCCATTGTCTGTCTGCCTGTCTCTCTGGGTTGGCATGCTGGTCCATAAGAAGTGCTCTGATCTGTTCTCCCTTGTTGGGCACTTTTTGGTCTAATTAGTTTGTAAGGGGATAAACTTCAGGCCCTATCTAAGGGCAAGAGGAAATAAAAGACATTGTGGGACTGAAAATGGTGAAATCAAAGACTTAGGACACTAAGGGAACAACATGTCATAACTCAACTCAGGCACCCTGGACTGTAAACTCAGGATCAAAGGTCAGAAAGGAGGTAAGAGGTAGAAGGGAGCCCAAGCCTTCAAGTAGTGCCAGGGACAGAGCCCAGACACACACTGGGTTTCAGGAAACTTAGGAGGAAGAAAAGAAGAGGAGACTCTGGATAACAGATAGGCAGGAGAAGAGTGACTGAAGATGAGAGTGGTGGAGGTAGGTCTCCACAGGGTACATGCTGCAGAAGCACAGGCTCCTGAGTTTACATATGAATAGGTCCCCATACAGGAAACCTACAGACATGACCTGTAAAAAGGAATTCTGGTCTCACTTTGCAAAAAGGAGGTGGACCAAGCCAGACAGACAGACTTTGAGGAACAAAGACCCTTACCCACAGCAGAGACTCAAGAAGAAAAACATTAGGGTGAAAATGGGTTCCTTAGTAAAAACTCTGGCCCTCACTCATAATAAAGTTTCAGAGAACTCATAGAAAGAGACTACAGATGAACCAGAAAGATGGCAGAAAGATGCATGGCAGGAAGGCATGGGTGACATATTTGTGACAAAGCCCAAGATCTAAGAGGTGCCAGGTAAGGTGATACACAGGTGTCCTGGGTTGTTTAAAGGCTATGAACATGGGGAATAGCTTGACGAATTCCCCAACACACTTCTATATCACACATGCTCCAACAGAGTCCCTGAACAAGAAGACCCTCCTCACACACTAAGTGTAGGGGCTTCCGGGTGGACGCCAGAACACTGATCCCTTTTGTCTGGTCCATCTTGCAGGTCAGCCCAAGGCTGGGCCCTCGCTCACCCTGTTCCCACCCTCCTCTGAGGAGCTCCAGAGCAACAAGGCCACACTGGTGTGTCTGATCAACGACTTCTACCCGGGTGCCGTGACCGTGAACTGGAAGAAAGATGGCACCAAGGTCACCCAGGGCGTGCAGAACACTCAGCCCTCCAAACAGACCAACAATAAGTACATGGCCAGCAGCTACCTGACTCTGACAGCAGAGGAGTGGAAATCTCATAATTCATTCACCTGCCAGGTCACTCATGAGGGGAGCACCGTGGAGAAGAGTGTGTCCCCTGCACAGTGTTCCTAGGTCCCAGACCCTCACTCCACCCTGGAGCTGAAAACCCCAGGGAAGCTTCTCTCCTCCCACCTCTACCATCCCAGCCCTTCTCCCTCAACCCAGAAACCCTCAATAAACATTCTCCTTTTCAACCAGAAAACATGGTCCTGTTTATTTTACTTTACACACTTCCAATCTGAACTTTGGCCATCCCATCAGGTGTACACAATTAGACCTTGAGACCAAAGAGCCAGGAAAGGCTCCTGATATTACCCTGGAAGATCCACAGGATTTTCTACAGCGAGGGAATGGCCCTCAGCAGGAACCCAGCCTGCATATTTTCACCTATCCACCCTGTGCTTGTTCCTCTTGTGCAGACTTGTTCACCTCCCCACTCCCAAGGATCAATCTCTCCTTGGATCCCCAAGGCCTCCGGGAGAATATGTGAGCTCCCTTCCCTGGAGCAGTCTGAACATCACTCCCCCCTCGAATATCTTTTCATCTAAGGTCTAAGCCCCCATCACTGAGGCCATCCCTTCTTTGTCTCCCTTCCCCCACCTGTAATCCCTGCCCTTGCTGCCTAGAGCCACTTGCTCTTTCTTCTGTGACCACCCTACTCCTACATCACTGGGGACACTGCCTGGACCCCATAGCACTGCCCACTTTTGGACCCATAGCAATTCTTAATAATATATTCAGTCCATGAGCCCTGCTGATTCATCCTACAGTCCCCTCTTGGTACCACTCATCTATGTGTTTCCCTCACTTTTCCAACTATTTTCCAGTCCCCTGAGAGGCAGGAATCAGTATTGCTTCTAATGGACCCACCATAGGTGCCCTAAGGTTGTCAGTGGGTTTAGTGTGTCCAAAGACAGCAGCCACATTCTGGGATTCTCCCATGTGCTTGTGTGCAAGCACCTTATTAATAACTTGGTGTAGGCTCCCTGCTGTTGAATCAACACACACACATAAACATATATGCCTGTGAACAAACACGCACCTTTCCACACAAAATGCATATAATAAGCTCATACACTTCCTTATACATTGTCATGTGGAGCACCTCTCTGAGAGAATCAGGAAGATTCCAGGTTTCAGGAGAGGCAGTAAGGCCCCCTGGTGTCATGAAAACAGATCACCTAGTGTCCTGGAGTTCCAGGCTAATGGTCTCTGTGGTAGGCCACTCACCTTGGGGAAAGACATGAATTTTCTGTGCATTCCAAGAGTGACACAGAGGACAGGAGAAAGCTTGGGAAGGGCTGTACTCAGGGAGCAGCAGGTGACTTTGGAGAACTAGGGAGGTGCTTATTGAGGAGGACACTTCAGGGATTCCAAGCTGCCAGGTGTGAGTCCCCCTGTGAGTTCTACAGGTTAATGGGCCAGCACAAGGCAATGCATTGAGGGCCTGGTGCTGGGATCCCATTCTGTTCATGTCCTTCCCATGAGGCTTACCATGTGTGTCTCTAGGCTGTAGGTGCACCCAGTGATGGTGACAACATGAACAGAGGCTGACTGATTCATGCACAAAGGACATGGTGGAGCAGGTATGTGCACAGGTGAATGTGTAAGTCAGAAGGAGGTCAAGGGGAAAGCAGAGATACCTACACTTAGAGCTCATGGAATAAACTCAATTGGGAGCAAGGGAAATCTACCAATCACCACCCAGGAATCTGGTCCATTCCAGTTCTGAAGAAGCACCCTGCAATTCAAGGAGGGGCCACTCACAGAAACAAGAAACAAACAATGCACCTTCAGTACAGCCCAACCAAGGGCAAGGTCAATGAATGGAGCTCAGGAACCTGCAGCAGGACCTGGAACCTTGATGGGAAATGTGATTCTCTATCCAACCCCCAAATTCCCATTCATACTTTCATCCCTGTCAGTGCAGGAATCTGTAATCTTTGCCCTTCCTCCTCATCTGTCACTACCTCCTGGCTGAGGATATGGGGGCATACAGGAACCTTCTCATAAGTCCCAGTTGTACACAGAGTTCAGAGCTCCAGTATCTCTATATAGGAAATATGCTGCTCCCCACTTGCTGTTCCTCCTAATCTTCTTCTTCCTCCTGTTCCTGACATACTCAACACCAGCCCACCCAGGCCACCCAGCTTCTTCCCCGCAATACCATTAGCTGGGAACACTGATTTCACACACAGAAATCAAAAATAACAGAAATAATCAGTGTTAAATATTACCTTCTAGTTACATTCTTAAAATGGCTGCCATATATTTCCCTTAAATTAGGATCATCATTCATAAGATTTATATTGCTATTAGAATGTTGTATTATTAGAATATTACATGATGGGTATTTGTTCAGTATATTCTTGGGACATAATTTTGAGTATTCTCTGAATATTTAGGAGAGAACAATAAATCTTGGAAAACATGGGTGTATTTGAGTCATCAAATATCTCTATATATCTATATCTATATCTATATATAGAGAGAGATATTCATCCAATCAGTAATTTTAATATTTTCATATTTTTTGGAAATTACAAAAAAATTATAAAGATGAGGAGAAAGTTATCCAGAACCCCATCACCTCATATAATTGCCATTAATTTTTAAAAAAAAAAATTCTACACTTTCATTTTTCATATCATAATAAAAATATATAAATAAAATTAAATAAAATCCTTGCCATGACTCACAATGGTCAAATTCCACAGCCTCCAAAGAGGTGATGTTCTAGGTCAAGCAAAAGCCACCAAATCTCACCCACCCATGGCCTGAGCAGCCCCTGTGAAAGGAGGCTGAACCCTGGGCCTCTAGTGCAGCTGCAGGAGGGTCTGGGCCATGGTGCAAAAAGGGGTTTATGTACAGATCTATGTCACAGTGTGCTGTGTTCGGCAGCGGGACCAAGTTGACCGTCCTTGGTGAGTTTTCCCTTCCACTCCCCTTTGGGCAAGGCTAAATTAGGGTAGATTTTTCTCTCCTTTCTAGCTTTTCTGGAGCTGAGGTTTCAACCTGTGCAGGAATCTGTTATTTTTTCCCCTCCTCATCTGCTTACTCAGTTTCTCCAGTCCATCCCCTATTCTTAGTTACTTTCTGGGGCAGAATAGAAATGACCATTTTCTGTACCCTGCTGGGAATTCTCTCTGGCCAAGGAACTCTCTCATGGAGTTTTCTTTTCTGAACTTCGGAATATCCACCCCCTCCATTTGCTGAGGTCTCTGAACCACAGGGTTCAGAGACACCAAGTGTCTCAGGCTAAAGCTCTAGGGATATGGGGTCTTTAAAGGGGGAGGGGAAGTGCTTGACCTCCCAGGGTCTATGCTCCATGGTCCCAGCTATGGCTGCTTCCACCCATTGAGGAGAGACTTAGACTGGGGACTTGGAATGAGGGAGAAGGAAATAGAAAGGAGACAGGGATGGAGAAAGAACTTTGTGTAGAAAGGTGAATCCAGTTGTTGGGTCCCTTCTCCTGCTGCCCCACTAGAGTTAGGATGCCTGGCCAGGGTGGGGTGAAGGACTCACAAGCTAAATGTGTCCACTCTCCATCCTACAACTGGAGGAGAGACCCAACAGGAGATTCCCAGGGAAGACATCCTGCTAGGCAGAGATAACAGGGACTGTTGGGACAGGAGATGTCCCAGGACTGACACATCCCCCAAGAACTTCAGATAATAGTGTGACACTTTAGAAGTCACAGCCCCAGGCTAAGTCCCAATTCCATGGAAACCCTCAATTTACTGGACTCCTTGGGATCCAGACACAGGGACTGTCACTTCCACTTGGGGTAGGCAGCCCAGAAGGGTCCTGTGGGCAGAGGCTGCAGTAAGGGTGCCAGGGGAATGTGTGAGCATGAAATGGGCACTTTCTCTGTTTCTCCTTTTCCTAACAAGTGATTCTTCCATAGTGAAGAGAAATACATGCGGGTGATCTCTTAGTGAGGCTTTTTCTCAGGACTGGTGGCACCTTCCAAGAATGACACCATGTACTGGTCATCTTTCAGTGATTTTCACCTTCTTCTCATGAAGATGCCAGGTCTATCAGATGCTGCCTCCAGCACAGCTGAAGCTGGGTCTAAGGGGGTAGGGATAGGGCAGGGAGAGGTTTTTGCACAATCTTGTGTCACAGTGCTTTTTTGTTCGGCGGAGGGACCCGGCTGACAGTCCTGGGTGAGTGATTCCTTATTCCTCTTTCATTGTTATCCATGAAGATTGTAAGAGTTTCCCCTGGTTGTGTTCTTCTGTGTCTTGTCTCAGCCTGGGGTTAAACATTCTCCATGGAATTCGGCCCTGGGGCACTGAACTTTTCTTTTCTGTTCAGAACCCAGCAAAACTCAAATAGTACCCATCACCCTTCGTTCTGACATCAGAGGAAAGGAACTGGACAGGATAACCTTTGGATACTCAGCTGTCTTTCTGTCTCTTTGTGGCATATTTTTTCCTAAGATGGGCTCTGTTGTTTCGTCTTCTGTTGGCCTAATCCCTTTCTGATGAACTGTGTGAGCATATGCACTGAGGCACTATCTTATGGGGAAGAGGGACCAGGTGCTGTGAGGAGCTGAAATTAGCTGAATTAGGAAAGAATTGGAACACCTAAGGCTGGGAAATAAGAGTAAGACTCAAGAATACAGAGCAAGAAACAAGGTAAGAGTTAGAAGGGATTCTTAAGCCTCCATTGGTTTCTAGGTTAAGGGCCCAGAGATGTATTGGGACTCATGAATCTTAGTCAAGAGAAAGAAAGGAGGAGAAGACTGTATATATGATGCTGGGTACACATTCACTGAAGGGCATGATATGGCAAAGTGAGCTCCTCAGAAGTATGAGATCCTGAACTTATAGAAAATAGTTCCCAGTGCAGAAAACCTGTATCTGGCCTGTAAACAAGGACTCTAACCTTGAGGCCATGCCAGACAGACAGACTTTTAGGAACAATGACCCTTACCCATGGCAGAGACTCAAGAGGAGACTCATAGGTGTGAAAATGGGCTCCTTAGTAAAAACACTAACCATCAGAGTCAAGGAATCAGGTCAGAACTGACCCATAATGGAATGCACTGGAATCCCAGAGAGCTCAGAGGACAGAAAGAGATGACAAATGGGTCAGAAAAGATGAAGGGGGAGTCAGGACAGGAAGGCAAGGGTGACATATCTGTGTGAAAGGCTATGGTCTAAGAGGTGCCAGGTAAGGTGATACACAGGTGTCCTGGGTTGTTTCAAGGCTATGAACATGGAGAATAGCTTGACGAATTCCCCAACACACTTCTATATCACACATGCTCCAACAGAGTCCCTGAACAAGAAGACCCTCCTCACACACTAAGTGTAGGGGCTTCCGGGTGGACGCCAGAACACTGATCCCTTTTGTCTGGTCCATCTTGCAGGTCAGCCCAAGGCTGGGCCCTCGCTCACCCTGTTCCCACCCTCCTCTGAGGAGCTCCAGAGCAACAAGGCCACACTGGTGTGTCTGATCAACGACTTCTACCCGGGTGCCGTGACCGTGAACTGGAAGAAAGATGGCACCAAGGTCACCCAGGGCGTGCAGAACACTCAGCCCTCCAAACAGACCAACAATAAGTACATGGCCAGCAGCTACCTGACTCTGACAGCAGAGGAGTGGAAATCTCATAATTCATTCACCTGCCAGGTCACTCATGAGGGGAGCACCGTGGAGAAGAGTGTGTCCCCTGCACAGTGTTCCTAGGTCTCAGACCCTCACTCCACCCTGGAGCTGAAAACCCCAGGGAAGCTTCTCTCCTCCCACCCCTACCATCCCAGCCCTTCTCCCTCAACCCAGAAACCCTCAATAAACATTCTCCTTTTCAACCAGAAAACATGGTCCTGTTTATTTTACTTTACACACTTCCAATCTGAACTTTGGCCATCCCATCAGGTGTACACAATTAGACCTTGAGACCAAACAGCCAGGAAAGGCTCCTGATATTTCCTTGGTAGATGCTTTCACTCTCACCCAAGCTCCACAGAATTTTCTACAGCAATGGAATGGCCCTCAGCTAGAACACAGCCTGCATATTTTCATCTATCCACCCTGTGCTTGTTCCTCTTGTGCAGACTTGTTCACCTCCCCATTCCCAGGATCAGTCTCTCCTTGGATCCCCAAGGCCTCCAGGAGAATATGTGAGTTCCCTTCCCTGGGACAGTCTGAACATCACTTCATCCTTGAATGTCCTTCCATCTCCAGTCTAAGCCCACATCACCAGAGTCCATCCCTTTTTTGTCTCCCTTCCCCCACCTATAATCCCTGTCCTTACTGCCTGCAGCCACTTGCCTTTCCTTCCATGTCCATCCTGCTCCTCCCTCCCCAGGATACAGCCTTGGTCCCCATAATCCCTCTGAATATCACTCACTGAAAGGAATTCTTAACCCCTAGATCCTGTTTACTTACTCCACACTCTTCTCTGTGTGCCCTGTTTGGCTATTTTTTCTTTTTCAAAGCCCCTCAGAAACATGGATCAGCTCTACTCTCTACTGTCCCTTATGGCCAGCTCAATAGTTCCCTGTCTTTAGTTCTTCATGTTCAGCCATTCGTGGCTAGTCAATGAGTGCTCCAGATTACAGTCAAGTGTTGAATTCCAGCCTTACATCTTGCATCAGTCTTTGAACTGACTCCTCTCATTTGGAGCTTTGTGTTAGTCCTATTAAACAGGTTATTGTCCTATTAAGCAGGTTATTGTCCTGGCAGCCCTACACAGTGGGGACCTGAGCTATGAGACAAATGAATGCACACGTGAAATCCCATGCATGCACCCACATATGTTACAGACATGAGCACATATACACACATTCTCTATTGTACATCCTTCTGGGGTTTAAAATGGGCACCCAGGACCCTCTTAGGTGCCTCAGTTCCACACAGGTCCCCAGCTCCACTTTCACTACGATATAAACAAGTCTCTCTCTTTTTGACCAGTACATTCTCCAAGATGAGCTGAGCTGGGGACACAGCCCCTTCCTAGACCAGACATTAGCAATGAAACCAGTTGTGAGGTACATTTATGCCTTCTCCCTATTCCACTCCCTTTTAGGTGGATGGATTCTATGAACCAAATACTGTGTGATTCCATGGAAGGAGGGGCCACCTCTTGACACTCTCTCATGTATTGTACCTGTCCTCTGAATAGGTGGCTAGCCCCTAGATTCACAGTACAGCTGTAGGTGGGTCTGAGACTGATGATAGGAGGGGCTGGAGTTCAGGTCTGCACTCCTGTGTTGTGCGTGCAGAAGAAGCATGTAGCTAACCATTCTTGCTGAATCTTTCTGTTTCCCTTGTCTTTGGGGTTCAGGATGAAATCTAGGTAGATTTTTCTCTTTTCTGTCTTGTGAGCACTGAAGTCTAAATTTATCTGGAGGTCTGTAAACTTTCTCTTCCTTATCTTGCCCCTCACCTCCTCCAATATGTCCCATCTTCTCAGGTTCCTTTTGGCACAGGATAGGATGATTCAAGTGATCCCTTCTTGATTCTTGCTCAGGCATCACTGTGATTCCATCTTTCTCTCCAGTGAACATTCTTCCCTGAATGGATGAATGGATGTCTACTTTCTTTCTTTGGGTCTCTTATCCTTGGGGCCCAAGGTAATAGGGCAGTAGTTTGGGCCCCCAAGACTATCAGGTGTAGGAGGGAGGAAGGGAAGTGCTCAAAGGATAATCCCCCAAGGTCTTGGCTATGGGATGCCTTCAACCTAGGGAGAAGATCTTTCGGACTGGGACTCAAAAAGATGATGAAGGAAATAAAAGGTGGTAAGGATGTGGAAAGAATTTCCTTTGAGAAGATGGACATACAGCCAGATGCAACGGCAAATGCCTGTAATCCCAAAACTCAGGAGGCTAAGGCAGGAGGATAACAAATTCAAAGCCAGCCTGAGAAAATTAGCTAGGCCCTAAGCAACTTAGCAAGACCCTGTCTCCAATTTTTAAAAAAATAATAATAAAATAAAAAGGGCTATAGATGTGGCATTGTGGTTAAGCCCATTTGGATTCAAGCACTGGTAGAAGAGAGGGAGGGAGAGAAAGGTGGGCATAACTGCTGCGTACCACCTCCTCCCTCAGCACAAGCAGGACACCATAGACATGATGGAGCTCAGGACACACAGGCCCAAATGTTGGCAACTTCCCATCCTATAACTGAAGGAGAGACACCAGAAAGAATCTCCTGACCAGAAACTCCTGAAAAAGACAGGTGACAGGGATAGGCCTGTGTCAGGCAGGACCTCCTAGGACAGAGAAATCTTCCACCACAAATTCACATGGGAGGGAGGCCTCTTAGAATTAACATAGACCCAATCTCTAAACAGGAAAGACTCCAGAAACTGAAGCCCTCAATCCACTGGACTCTCTGGAATTTGGACTCTGAGTCTCATGCCCCCTCTCCCACCAAGGCAGCCCTAGAAGCTTCTCTACAGGGAGATAGAGCAGGGTCTGCAATGATGGTGCTTTGATAATCAGAAATCTTCTCTATCTCCATTTCTCTTAACACACATTCATTTGCAACTTCCCTGAGATTCTTACTTTGTAGAGGGAAGAATTCTGGCACCCAGGAGGCAAGTAGCCCAGAGAAGAAGTTCACAGTCTCTTGGAGCATCAGATGGAAAACAGTAGTCAGAAGGACTTGGGACTCACTTCTCTCTCCTTCCTCTTTTTCTTCCTCCCAGTACCTGGCCCCCAACTGTCTGGGTCCTTACTATATGGAGCTAACCATGTCTGGGACCTCCTGAAATAGTTTCTTTCTCCACCCTGGTCAGGTCACTGTACCTCATGTCCCCTCTTCCTTCAGCATAGAAACTCTGCTCTGGGATGGACTCCTGGAATCCTCTCCTCCTCTTTGCCCAACTCAGCTCCTACCCACATATAGCCCCTCCCCATCACTCCTGAGAACAAGACAGTCCACAGAATTCAGAGCACACCAATGCCATTGACTTCTAAACTCTTAAATTCAGAGCCCACCTCAATTCATTATCCAATGGTAGGTTTGGGTACAAAAGAGAAATAGGAGGAAGCTAAGAAGAAAACTGCCACACCAAAGGCCTTCCAAGAACTTTGGACACTTGCCAGCAATGAGCTCCTAACTCCCAGGGAACCAAGGAAATGCCTCATAATTTCTATGAGGTTAAACAAAGACATTGCTGGGTGAAACTGAGACAGGGCATCTTGTACCTCAATTAGAGGTGGAGACATGTTTTATCTGAGGCTTCAACACTGAGAAGACTTGGGTTCTGCCATACACCCAGGTGAACAATCCGTGGCCCCAGAACATAGTGATTCTCTAAAGTGTGTGGCACAGAAGGTCACCTGCCATCTTCTTTTGTTGAGGGGGAAGTCATTATTTATTGGGAGTATTTCATTCAATTGTGGACATCAGCAGGAAAAGTAGGTCCTGTATTGGGACTTTCTCTGTGAGACAGTGACTAGCAGGGTTGGAGATCCAGCCTCTCTCTGACCATGAAGGGATGGTGAGTCTGTGGCCCAGGCTCACCCTACCACTCATGCAGTCCCTGAATTCCAGTCTCTTTACTCTACCATGGAAGTTAGCAGGGTTAGGGCTCAGGGCCTAGGGTCAGGCCTGTGTCACCATGGGCAGGGGCTATGGAGGGGCCACAATGAGTGCCCCGATCCTGTGGGAATTTTCTGTGGCTACTGAAATAGATCACTGCAATACAGTGGCTCAAAAAGCAACATTGATTTATTCTCTCACAGGCCTGGAGGTCAGAAGTCCAAAATGCATCCTGGGGATCTAGAACCAAGGTGTTGACAGGGCCAGACTCCTTCTAGGGACTCAAGAAGTGTCCATTTCCTGACTTTTTCCAGCTCTTAGAGGATACCACATTCCTAGACTCCTGATCCCTTCCTACAATTTCAAAGCCAGCTATGCAGCACCTACAAATCTCTCTTCCTGTCTTTCTCTTCCCTTCTCCCCTCCTTCTCTTCTCTTCTCTCTCTGCCCCTACTCTCTCTCTCTCCTCTCCTTCCATTCCCACATTCCTTGTCTTATTCTGACCTCCCATCTCCCTCTTTTCCTTATAAAGACCCTACCTTGGACCCACCCAGATAATTTGGGATAATACCCCATCTCAGGTCCCTTAACATTATCCCCTGGGCAAAGTCCCTGTGGTCACAGAGCATAACATATTCTCGGGTTCTGGGATTAGGAAGTACTATCCTTAGGGGTCCTCATTCAGTCAAGCTCAGTTCAGTTCCTAATTCCCTGGTGATTTGGGGAGACTTCTCCCTAATTTTTCTCCCTTTCTATGTCCTGTCCATCCCCAATCTGAGCAATTCCTGGGGCCAGCACAGGCTCAACCCTGCCCTCCTCTCTGGTCTTCCACAGTCCCTACTTTGTCTAGATCACAGGGAAGAGCCCTGCCCCAGGATGGGCTTACCATTCTGAGTCTGTGATTTCAGTCACATCTCTGAGACATTTTCTTCCCATGACCCCCTGATAAGTGCTCTCCAGGATCTACTTCTCAGTCACAAAACTGCCCTTGGAGGAAGATCTTATGAGGATCTTCAGTCTACAATGGAGACTATGAGATGCCTCAGCTGCCAGCTGTGGGCCACTTAGGGAAAGTCACAGTACCTCATGGCCCAGAGACTCTGAGTGATTTGCCAGAAGTAGATCAATGGGTTGTCATTTCCCTGCTCCTACCATTATCAGCGTGTCTCCAAGGACTCCTGGACTCCATGCCCTTCCTTCCCACTTCAAGCCCAGAATCTCCTGCCATGTTCTCTCTCTACACTTCTCATGGCACTGATGGCCTTCAAGTGGCTTCATCCAAGGATCCTCTCACTATCCTCCTCTGTTGATCCTGACTCTGAACAC